AAAGGTTTTGGTACATTTATCCTTTTTCTTTTTTAATGCATAACCTCTTTCCATTTATTATCCAAAATAGCATGGGTAATATGGTTATTGCAATGTTTCTAGCCCAGCCTAAGGCATAAGAGCGAAATTTTACAGAAAACCTTTCCACTGTAAAATGCTAAACTCTGTTTTCAACCTTAAGTACTTCAGACAAAGAAAGATTTTCCAGTGCAAACACATAAAATACTCATGCTTTCTCCATATGCTTTATGAAAAGTCATCTTTTACAACAACAAATGATAACTCATTCTGTCAAAAGTTTTCTCTGCACTGAAGTGAGGAAAAAAGAACCAAGTTAGCACTTTCTTCTAATTCCGTGTGTCTGATTTCTCTACAACAAGGGTCAGGGCCTGTAGCACATGCACAGATTCAGCATACCACAAAGGTTGCATGGGGTCAGGAACTGGGAGCAGGTGGAATCTGAGAAAGGCCAACAGCTTCCAGGTCTTAACACCTACTACTCTCCACCAGCTGCTCCAATGATCAACTAATCAGCAGTGTCTTGCCCCTTGGAAGGCATGTTCATACCTCAGTATATGTTCTGTGCATTGGCTCAACGAACACAGTGATCTGCCACTACAGAGCTGACTGCTCAACACATGTTGCAGCTGCTGAACTGTGGCTTTTTCCCTGGGTTTGCTCCTTTGCTCTGGCAAAGTAGAGCCAATGGCTGAGACATCTCTTCCTTTAATTGTTCCTGACCTGTAACTTGCCTTGCATTCCCTTCAATTTGTACAATCCAAGTAAACTAGCTCAATCTAGCAAGCACTGATCACACCAACTCTTCAAGGTCTCTACTAGTCATAGGTAAGGATTCAGTTAGGGTTCAAGCATACATTTAATATGTAATTCAGGTGTAATCTGAAAAGCAACACTTTCCAAACCCTTCTGAAATAATACTGGGACAGGTGACCTCTAATTTCACAAAAACCAAATTCAACACACTATCACTGAGAGGATGGCCTCAGTCTAAAACACGATTGATGCTTTACGGTATAATCCTCATACTATCAATCATTTTTCTGGTAAAAAGTAGCCCCGCAATACTTTGACAAGGTGATTCTAAGAAGTGATTTAGCCTAATGAGCGTACAGACCCAACAAGCAAATTAGCAATGCATTTTGAAACAATAAGACAGACTGTAGCAGCAAAGTAGCGATTTAAAGAATTGGTTACATTCGTATAGTAAAATCTGTGCAAATACCAGCTTAAAGTTTTAATTTCACTTTTAAATATTTTTATCAGAGGAACAGCAACATTATCATTACAATGAACTGTTCTCCCAGGCACACATTACACTGGGTCCTGTTCAAAAATTCCACAATATAAGTAAAAGACTACTTAGTTGGATTTCCTTTGTTCCTACTTCTTCGCCATGAACCATCAAAAAGCATAGAGTTATAGAGTCAAATTTTGTCTGGGTTTTAGTTGAACAAAAAGAATTCTATTTAGTTGGCACACCTCTGCAGGGTACGGTCATCATTTGTTCACAGGGTGTCAGCAGCCAAAGGATATTTAGTTAGCAACCCTCAATGTCAGGCAAGAATGGACTGCAGCTTTAAACTCTCCCTCCTGCTCACTGGCAGAACAGTACTGAGTAGGGGCTAGGGAGCTATGGCTCTTCAGAGGAATAGCAACAACAACCTGCCAGCACTGTATTATACATACCTTTCAAGGACAATTAGATCTTTAAGTAAAATTACTCTGAGCAGTACCATCAGGCAGGCAAGCAAGCAAGCAGGAAATCCGACAGGCCATTCCACAGCCTCAAAATACAACTTTCTTTTTGAAAGAAAACAACCCACCAACAAACCAACCCAATGTTTTCATACACATGGCAAGAAGTAACTGTATACATCAAATGCTGAGCTATGTAGCTACATTACTTTAAATATGTATAGTTGTAGGGGTTTTTTTACAGAAGAACACAGGATAAACAGCTAAACTATCTCTTTTTTTTTAAACTACTGAGACCAGAACTAGTGAAAAGAAAAGTTAGCTCATGATAATAGAGGAAGATTAAGGAATAATTAGAAACAATTCAGTTTTGAAGTCAGAAACATTGACAATATTGACCAAATAGGAATGCAATCAAGCATTACCAATATTTCTGCCAGTGTTTTTGGGATAATGCTGTACCTAGGGCAAAATAACTCTGTCAGCTATTTTGCTGAGAAGCTCCAAGGATTATTTTTAAATACTTTGGAGGTATTCAAATAAAACAACAATGAGATTAAATTGGACAGGAAGAAAATATTTTCTTTGCACACAGTATAATATTGGTAACAGCCAACTAAAAAAGAAAAAAAAAAAAAAAGACTCCTGTATGATTTGAAGTTCAATCAAAATGTTCTACTAAAAATGGAAACATAGAACATTCACTGGTGTACACCAGGTAAATGGTCTGTACAACATAATGCTGGTAAACAAAATGTCACTATTTTCAAACCCAGCAGTAAAAAATAAAAAAAAAATCTTCTTTGATATCAGCCTCCACATTCTTATGGATGACACTGACTCTGTTCAAGCAAACAATTTATGTCCAGTATTATAGTGTCCTATACCTACAAACTATCAAAAAAATAAAAATATTAACATATCCCATCAATAAATATGGAAAGCAAACGAACACCTAACTTTCTCTGTGCACTATGGTAACAGCCATAAATCCCTAAACTTAAGAGCAACAGTTCTAAGTTACAGTCACAATTAAGGCAGCAACACTCTGTGATACAAAAATATCAGGTGAAAAAAATTAAACAGCAAATAAGAAAATTATTAGCTGACATGGTAAGTGAAGTTTTATTTTCCACTTACCACTTCAGGTTCAAAAAAAAATCCCTTCATAAAGTTTAAATTCATCAAGAAACAAGTCATGAAGATTTTACTTTTTTTTTTTTCATAAATTATACCTGCTGTCTCTTCTTCAACACAACTGTTAGCTCAAGACAGCATACCTGAGATAAGTAAACTTTCAGCTAGCTTAATATTATTGACACTATGAAACTCTCACAGTTTGCAGCCCCAACTACTACAATGAGCCTTTTAAGCTTGAACTGTGGCAGCTGAAGAGCAAATGCAGGTCAGCTGCTGTTGTGACTGCTACATCATGGTAAGTTCCAGCTGGGGTGAATTGCTGAACACTTCTTAAATGGTGTCAACTAGAGTTGTCAGGAGATCATAAGCCAGAGCCCCAAGCAATTTGATTAGAATCAGAGAGTAACTGGATTAGTGGAACTACTGAATTAGTATTTGATGAGCTGTATAATTCATGTGTTATCTTCTAGCTACTACTGGCTCTAACACCTGCAAGATGAATTAGCATCCACCCCTTCGTGTGCCAGGTGACTCAACCCTCAATACAAACAAGAGATTTGTGCAAAGGTTTGCACTGAAACTGGTGAAAAAATCCAAACTAAGTATACTTTGATCTGGCAATTCAGTAAAGATGCTTGCCAACTCTATCAGCACCTTCTCATTATTTTATCTTCTTTTGTTTTAACAAACTTTAACAGGCAAGGTTGGGAGATATTCTCTCCTAGAGGCAAGATACAATCAGTCAGATAATTGGGGGTATCTTGTCTCTGCAAGAGGTGAAAGACTTACAGAGCCCAGCACACAGTGAATGCTGGGTTCAGTGAGAGAAAGGGCCCTGATTTTCATAGCTGCAGAAACAGCACAGTCAGCAGCACCTTGACTCTCTGGGAGAGTGTTTGCCAAGTCTGTTGCCAAATATCAGTTTTAACACTGAAAAACATGCACTGGAGGAAGGCAAAATGCTCTCCTCAGGCAGCTGCAGGAAGGTGGCCCATCAAGGTAAGCTGTATCTACTACTTTTTGAACACCGGAGTGTTGGCAGTATGCTTGTCAGGCCAGTCTCAGTGCAAAACTTCACTCTTGTACTCCTGCAAGCTACCGGGGTGTGTACTCAGGTTTTAGTCATACTCCAGACAAGTCTGAAGCTTCCTTCCAGTCATGGGCTGGCTAGACTTCCTGCCTAGAATTACAGTGAATCACATAAAGAAACACAACTTTTGGCTTTCATGGTAAACAAAATAAACATTTTAAATTCACATTTTTTTTTAAGTGCTGAAAGGGGTTTTTTTGCTGTTCCTTTTTTTAACAAAGTTGTCTGTTTCTAAATTTCAGTCAAAAAGCTTAGGTTCCAAACTCACAAGCTTTATTGTAGATTTTCATATTTGTAATGATCAAAATGCAACTTGAAACAAGCCAACTATAGTGAAATCAGCTCAGCCATGAAACAGGATTGCAGTTAGAGTTTTATTTGCCTCCATCCCTACAATTATTCCAAAAGAGAAAGACAGAGTAAGTTATGTTACTATTTATAGTAAAAGGAAATGATAAATTTGAGTGCTTAGTAAATAGCAGGCAATAGAGAAAATACAGTAATTTGGAGTTATGTCTTCACTAATATCTAGTAATTCACAGGTGGCATGTTACATCTGTGTGCTGTATTTTATTTGACATGTTCACAATCCTTTTTTAAGTCAGTCACAAATCCAAACACAGTTAGCAGACAGCGTATTTAATAAAATCAGATTTATAAAACTATTACTGTGTGAAACAGCATTTCACCTATTAAATTTTTCTAATACAAAACCAGCTACTCAAATCAATAGAGAAAGAAAAACAATAAATAATGAAACTATGAGAAAATAATTGAGATGTTATAAAAGCTATAAATACATCAAACATTTGACAATATATCATAATGCACTCTACGTTCCCCCCCCTCCTTTTATTTTCTCCTTCACAAAACCTCTCCCGATATCTGCAGTTCCTAATCATTTATTCTATAAATACAGCTTAGTTGACTAAGGCTGAAATGCGCTAAGATGCAGTAACGTTTCAAATTCATACATGAAACAATTTGGAAGCTTCCCCCAGGCATTCGCGGCTGCGGCTCCCGCTGCTCTGCTACCCACAATCCCCCCATTTACCTGCTCGCTGGGCTGCTTCAGCCCTGGTCAGGAAGTGGTAAAGCTGATCCAGCTTATCAGGCTGCTCCTCCAGGGACTTCTGCTGCCATATGGCTGACCCAGGCCCTGCAGCCTCCCTCAAGGCATTCCACTTCTGTATCAGAGTGAAGAGCTCGGAGAAGGACTCGTGATAACCCTGTCGCAGCATGTCTATGCAGATGTTCTTCTTGTACGAATTCCTGTTACTGGGAATAAGAAAGATAGATTTTAAGCCTTTAAACCTCTATTCTCCACCTTACCAAATAAGTACAGATAACTACAACAGCTTTCAAGAAGAGACCTCTGCAGTTCAGCAGCAGGGAAGGGGTATTTTTTCCCCTGCTCAAAAGGCGTTCTGCTAAAATACGATTATGAATGTCATACCCTAGGGAAGTAAATATGGCAATAATGAATAAATACCAGATATATATTGAAAACATGTTAAAAATATACTGGTATTCTTTAGCTGGTATTGGTAAGAAAGGCTGACTGATGGGTAAAAAACCCCTACGTTTACATTAGTTCATGAAAATACAATGAACTCTTAGTTTGCTTTAAAATAGTGCACAGGGAAAAATGAGGCACATTCCACGTGTCAAAACAATGTATATGTTAAATAGTTTTGCTGTAGGATATAATGGCTTGGTTTAAAACGCCGAACAAATGCTATGCCAGAAACATAATTATTAGATATTATTTTGCTTCTGTTTAGCATATAACTTCAGCTGGGACTGGTTTACTGATGCGAAAGTTTGATAATTTCTCCCTAATTTAAAATTAAATGATGCAATGATGAATTTATATCAAAGTTATCTCATTCATAAACTCCGATAAGATACACATAACAAAAAGTTGTGTAGTCACATATTCTCAAGAGGTACTATATCTTTTGAGGTATTATTTATGGAAATAAGCAAAATATTTCTTTTATGTGGCATGAAACAATCATTGTGTCCTCTCCTGGAGAAAACTATGAGTCCAATGGGACTGCCTGCAACACTAAAGTACAGATGTAGAGGTTTGCAGGTGCAGGTATCTAGCGTGGGAAAACAAACCTTTGTCCCAGTAAAATGGCAAGGACCCAGATGTGTTAATTTTATTTTGTATATTCCATTAAGTTTCCAAACTGTTTTCAAGACTGTCTTTTTAGATTAAAATCCATTTAATTTCAAATTCTCAGCAGCTTTAAAATAAATATGGAATTCTGAAAACTGAGACTTATGGTGTATGTAATAAATTCAGATGACCTCATGCTAAACAACAGCCTAATGAGACTAATACTTCTAGCCCAAAAAGAGCTACTGCAGTTCTTTAACAACACTAATAAGATGGAAGCAATGTAAAAAACTTCTTAGCTAGATGTCATTGACATAAAGAGTAATGTGAGATGTAAGAAGTAAACAATCAGCATTATTTCATAGTTAATATGATTAAAATAAAATCTATTAATTACTACATAGGTGCACATTAATCCTTCATATGTATTTTTTACATTTCAGTTGCAGAACTGAACACAAAGTATTACAAAATCCTGATATGATTTAGACTAGACAGTACTGAATTTATTGTTAATATATGAATAGGTGCTTTTTGAGATGGAAAAGCACACATTGTTCACACAAACAATGGAAAATAAAAGACTATTCTGTACCAGAAAACATTTGGAATGTTTGTCTGAGAAAAGTAGATGAGAAATGTCTTTAAACATTTAAATTTTAATTTGCCAAAATATGCTATATTTGTAACAGATCAGATGCACAGTATAGAGCTTAAAAATACTGTAAAGATATTATGTTTATACAGCACAATATATTCTCTATTCTGTATATGGAACACTTTCTTTTTTCTGTTTTAAAATTCTATCTAACTAAAAAAAAATTGAAGAATATAGGTAAAAAATTTCTATCAACCTCCAAAGGCTTAGGACTGAATCCCACAGTAATATAACTCAGAGCAGTGGAATAACAATCTGTCTAGAGAACACACATACATGCATATTTATTTATATAATGTGATCTATGTATGTGTATATGTGTGCATGCATTAGATCAGGACGTGTATCAGGAGTAAACAAGAAAGTACTGCTAAAAGATCTTAACAGTGACTAAACAAAATGTCATTCAGTTAATTTTTAACACTCACTGCATACCCACTAAGCACAGCACCAATATTCGTACAAATAGAAAAACTGTGTCCATGTAACATGTTATTTCCTGTAGACTAATGTATTTTACTTGAAGTTAAAGCACATTTTCTCCACAAGACAGCATTATTAGCAAAGCAATACAGGAAAACAAAACATACAGTAAAATAGGTGAGTTTTAGAAATTATTGTCAATATTCTTTTTAATAAATCCATCCTAACTAATAAAGAAACTGAAATAATGCAGAAATAACCATATGGTACAGAGCACATTTTTTCTTTGGCAAAGATAACTGATCTTAACTCAGAAGCAATGAAGCTATCTACTGTATAACCATTCAAATTTTAGAGGCATAAAGATAAAAGCTCTCAGTTATACTTCAAACCAGAAAATACACAAAAATGCAAAATGATACTAATATTGTTTCCTTAGGTTTCTGCAATATATAGGGGACTGATCACACACAAACATTAAAATAGGGATAGAAATAAATGATATTATGGGGATGAATGGTATTCGTGACACCTAAGAGAGCTTGACACTGCAATGAATTGTCAAATTGCTTCAGTTTATCAGAGTGGTTCCAGATGAAAATGCCAGTGCTCTTTTTTCCAACAAATCACTAGTGCTTTTGAACAGAGTAGTTGTGTAGGTGACAGAAGTAAACTTTTCATGATATCTTGAGATAAACTATAAATCCTCAAAAACCTTTTCATACTGCTTTTTATGATGTCATACAGCATGTAAAATGAGAGGTTAAACAGAAAATTTCGTGTTTTACATAACCAAAGATTACTTTATTTCTAATACCAAAACCTGATACTTAATTAAATGTACATGATTTATTTTATAAAATCCAACTGTTAACAGTATGCTTCTACTACATTAATAAACTAGTTTACACTAAACCTCTTGAACCTTACTACCTAAAAAATTACAATATATTATTAAACAAGTAAGTTTGTTTTTCTGCATTGCGTCCACACTTATTTTAGGTTTCCTTTGAACAATTATGTTACTTCAAGAAGCAAAATGAAAAAAGACTGGCCTTTCATTTACTTGAAATGGAGACGTTCAAGAGGTTTAATGGTCTCTGGGGGCATCTACTGGAAATCTGGAAAACTGCAGGCAGGACATGTTAATCACGGAGCTGTCAGTGCAGAGAGGCACGGCCGCAGAACAAAGGACGGCACGGACACGGGTGAAATGCAGGGCGAGCATCCCTGCCAGCACCGTGCAGGAGAAGAGCAGGGCCGCGCTCCTGCGCTGCCACGGACGCCGGCTTCTCCTACTGCAAAAGCACAGTTCCCAAAACACGCAAACACTGCCTGCAAGCAATTAAACTACTCGAATTAGAATCAGCAGACAGCTTTGTAACCTTAGCTGCATTTAATTTTAAAATTGAGCCCTGATATGGCTATAAGCCTAAAGTCCTCTTTCCCCTTTGAATGAGCACATGTGCGTGCTAGGAGAAAAAGATTTCCAATGGATTTTTTTAAAAAAACAAATTATTTTTGAACAAAATCCAGAGCATATCTGTATTTATGGTTAAAACAGAGACCAATTAATCTGGTTTTAATTTAAAGCAGATTTGTTTGGGGTTTTTTGGTTTTGTTTTTGTTTCTGTTTTTTTTTCCTTCTAAATCCATGAAATTCAACAGATGAAAGCCATAATACTTAACGCAAACATAAGATGATGCTGAGAATCCACAGTTCCTCTGACTGTACACTCATCTCTGTCATTACTGAGACCCTGTTGATGCTGCTAGATGTTGTTCACAGGCTGGGTGAAACACTGAAGTGAGGTCCACTTGGTGGACCTGTTTGGTTATCCTGTGTTTGTCCTACATCAGCAGTTACTGTGATGCAGTATTTTATATATGAGGTGCTGAAAAATTCTGTGCGCTTCTGTGTGTGTGTGTTGTGTTGTGGGGCGTGTCAGAAGAATTTTCAGCACCAGATAAACAACCTCTAAAAGTTAAAGTTGCCATTTTAGTGGTACCATGTTATAGATGATGATTTCATGTAGTATATAATATCACATGGGTGACAGCAGCTATTCATTGAATGTAGATGTGCGAGTTTTAAAAGACACTGCTATTGTTAACACTGTGCTTTAAGTGTACCTGGATATTGCTACAGGCATTTTACCTGTCTTAAACTATGCAGCTACTTATATAATTTTCTTATATGGATTTATTTTATTATTATCATTGCTATTCTAAAATGATCTAGAGTCATGCTGAGGAATCACAGAAACCTGAACCTAATTTGCTTTTAACAGTGCAAAAATCATAAATACTAATCTTCAGTGAGGTTAATGAAATTACACTGGTGTTGCAATCTCAAGGACCTTCCTATGTTATGGTATTGTACTTTTACAAGACTCTTAAGCAATGCAGGGAGATCAGGACAGTACCATTCTACGTTCCCTTTAACTTAAAATCCTGCACAACAAAGCTATTTGCATTCTACTCTTGACACTGAAAGAGAGAAAAAAAAAATAAAAATTAAGAGGCCAAGAGGCAGGTACTGGTGTTAGAAATAATCAAAATAGTATAGCATAACAGAATTATTTATCATGAGCTTAATTCTCCATGCCTCCTCTCTGGTATGGTCAATTACAGACATGCAAAAGTCTACTATTTTCAGCTTTTTTTTAATATATCAGGGTTCGTATCTTTAGATTCTCTAGGATTTAAATAGTACTATAGGTTAATGCCAGCTGCTGATTACAAGTGTACTGTAGCAATCCCATTTTGTAAAACACAAAATGGAATGGATTAAATGATAGTGTATAAAATATTAAAGTGTACTTCCAGTGTAAAATAATTACTCTACCAATTATTATAATGTTTAAAAACTACATTCAAATAGGTGTCATCCACTTGGGATCTCTTTCTGCAGTTGGCAAGTCAATGACTGATACAAATGCCTTAGATAAGGATCACAAAAATAGGAAAAAATAATCAAGATATTTTTTCTTAAGTTTATTTAAACAAATACATTTTATTTTTCCTCCTACATTTTTCCTCCTACAGTCTATAAATCTATAAGCAATT